CCTCATCCAGATCATCAATAAAGACATTGAAGAAGACTGGCCCCGGAACCGAGCCCTGGGGAACACCACTTGTGACCGGCCGCCAGCCGGATTTAACGCCGTTCACCACAACTCTCTGGGCTCGGCCATCCAGCCAGTTCTTTACCCAGCGAAGAGTAAACCTGTCTAAGCCACGAGCCGCCAGTTTCTCCAGGAGAATGCTGTGGGAGACGCTGTCAAAGGCTTTACTAAAGTCCCGGAAGACAACGTCCACAGTCTTTCCCTCATCCACCAGGCGGGTCACCTGGTCATAGAAGGCGATCAGGTTGGTCAAGCAGGACCTGCCTTTCATGAACCCATGCTGGCTGGGCCTGATCCCTTGGTTGTCCTGCAGGTGCCCTGTGAGCACTCTCAAGACCAACCGCTCCATAATCTTCCCCCGTACAGAGGTCAGGCTGACAGGCTTTTAAAGTCTTCTTCCTTTTAAAAAAAATACTAGCTTTAACAGCATGCTTGTAACTTCTTCAAAGACAGGGCATGTACAAGTCAAGTACACCTTTGGCTGGCAACCTAAAAATGTTACTGAACAAAGTATTTTAAGCAAGTTCCCAGAGAAAATTCTAAATCAAACTAAAAATGTTGGTTGAACTAGATTATTTCAGAGTGCCTACTGAATGTGAACTTACCTGTAAAGGCAATGACTCTTAGAAATCACTTGAAAACAGAAAAGATATAAACAAATACTTAAAATAGTTGTACCAAGATATTCTTAGTCACAGTAATGTAGAGAAAAAATAATAGAAGTGACATGAAGAAAGTGTTAAGAGAATGTTTTGGGGAAAAAAGCTACAGATGCAATAAGGAGATGTATCATGTTTAACAGTTTCCTTCTCTATACAGAGATTAAATCAGGATCTTTCATGGATTCCGCTCTCCCATCCTCCCCAGGAAAAGGATGGCAACCTATGCCAGAACATCCACAATACGCAAAACCTGGCTCAGGCTGCAGATTTGTAAAATTACCCCCCACATCAAGAAAAAAACACGCTCATTAGTGGGTATTCTGAGCAGATGTGACTAATAGCAAATGAAGTCTTTCCTGAGAAGTGTCTTCCATAAGGGGTGTAATTAATTGTTTTTCAAAAATAACCTCCATTTGAAAAAGAAAACAGCTTTGCTAAAACCTTCCATTTATTCACCTCTGAGGAACCAATCTTCCTGCCAGTGCTGGCAGACGGGAAAGTATGAGTTTATGGAAGCAGGTCCAAAAAAAAAGACCAGGTTTTAAAAGGGTAGATTTAGACTATAGATAAGGAAGAAATTTTTCACAATGAGGGTGGTGAAACACTGGCCCAGGTTGCCCAGAGGGGTGGTAGATGCCCCATCCCTGGAACCATTCAAGGTCAGGTTGGATGGGCCTCTGAGCAACCTGATCTAGTTGCTGATGCCCCTGCTCACTGCAGGGGGGTTGGACTAGATGACCTTTATATAAAAATGATAGAAACCTAGGTACACACCTAAGATGATTTCAATGAACACTAATAAGGAAATTACCTATTGGACAGAAACCATATCTAAGTTTGGTGACTAAGTTTCAAGAAGAGCTTGGAACTCATCATGAACACAGGTTAACAGACTCCTCTCTCATCACCTACATAGTTGAGTACATCACATCACCATCAATCTAAATAAGGTGGAAATGACATTACCTGCATAGCACAAACTGTGAGATGTGTTTGTGAAAAGCCCCAATTCATTTCCATCTCTCTCTTTCAACGCATTCTCTTCTAATTCCTGCTTGACATAACTAATGCTAAGTTAACTATAACAGCCACTCATATTCTTATCCTACTGTATCATTAAGTTGTTATCATACATTATTTCCAAAGTTGTCTTATTGCAAACACCATCCCCAGGGCCACTAAAGTAGAGCAACAGGCCCATTTATGATAGTTCTCCAATATCCTCATTAGAATGGGTGCTAAAATCGCATGCAATATTCCAGATCTGGTCAAAATTACTAGTTGATAGCCAAGTGGACCACTTCCATACCCAGTTTTAAACTAAGCTTATTCCTATGACAAGATGATGATGTTGCAATATTTAATATACATACACACTGCTGCCCATTCTGAGTCACCAATTTTCAAATGGCTTTCTACATCCAACTACATTTTTTATATGTGTGTGTGTATGTATATACACACACACACACACTTAAACCTCCTCCTTTACCAAACCTATAATATTTTAGGATTTAAAATTCATTTTATTGTGTAGTCACAGCTCTCATCTTGCTAGCCCCTCAAAAATGGGCTCACTTTACCAGATCATTTGTGCTCTGCCAAAGAAGTGGAAAGAAGTGTTTAATTCTCATCTTCTACCTTTAACCATTAAAGTATAGAATGAATAGGAATTCCCACTACCAACCTGACCTTGCACTACTCCAGTTTGATTATATTTTAAAGCAGTAAAACTACTTTCCTTATATGACTAAATGTTATGCAAGAATATGAACTGGCTGCTAGTGTCTTATATCATTCTACAACTTCAAGAAACCCAAGTGCTTACCTTAAATGTCTATTTAACTACAGGCAATGTAGCAAAGGCAAGATCACCTGCAAAAGGTCCCTATAAGCCTTCCAGAAACAAGCTAAGGAACCTAGGCACGCACTTCATGAGAGTTGCTTCTTTAGCTGTCTAACACTCAGGTTGGGTACCCATTTTAGGCAGATCAATCTGTTATTTCAGATTTACTTTTGGCTTTCTTAAAGTCAAGTCTATGTATTTTAAGAGCTAGAGAGGATTTTCTTCTTCCTCTGGTGAATGAAAGGATTGGTGAGACCAATTTTTCTTTTCAGTAAGAAAACCATTCTGTGAGCATACTCTAGCAGTACTTGTCTGTCAGGCAACATTTTCTTGAATAAATGGATATGTTTCATTACGGTTTTGCCTCCAAAAATGAGAGTTCAGTCATTATTTCAGCCTATTTTGAGGTATGTTTTGCTACTATCACCTAGCAGAATTAGAGCACAAGTAGATCTAACATATTTGACTACTGAAGTGTTATGCTTGTCTACTCACATGTAGTCATTGCAAGATTGGTATATTCAAACACAGACTTTGCAAAGACATTCAATCTTACATTTACAATTTAGTCAGTTACAAGATTGCCATTGGTATTATTTTTATTTATAAATAGAAAAAACTGCAACTTAAAAGTCTTTATAGTATCAGTAGTTTTATTCTACTTTTTATTTATGAAGCATGCCAATCTGTCAGCTTAAAATAGTATATTAACACAGTTATCTACCTGCGGGTCCGTGGAGGCTTTGGTGGAGGAGAATCCTGTTTCCCAGCATCTGAAGAACTGACAGCATTCTCTGTATTATTTTCATCCTGATTAAAAGAAAAAGTTTTCATTCATGACTGTAAAGCTGATGCACACAATACTTAAACCGTAAGGTCCAAAGATCTAGAATTATAGTTGAAAATAATGTACAACAATATTACATATTTTTGGCTAGCATATAGAGATCACTTTCAAAATTCTACTCTAAATTCACAGTATTATTTTATATCTTGTGTATCCAACTTCAAATTTTTCTGACTAAACATTTTGTTTCGCATGTAATTGTCCAATCCACTAGAGAAAATTCTCAAAAGTTAATCTTTCAGGTTAGTAGTAAGCAAGGTCCCTTATGCCCCCCAAATTATTCCTATTGAAAGCATTTATTCTCCAGTCAGTCTAATTATTTTCACTTGTACAATCACTCCCATGAAGATAAGACTAATCTACAGTGCAGTAAGAAAATGAGGATTTCAGCTACTGTAAAGTGACAAGTGGATAAGATTTAATGCCTTGTTCTAAAACACTTTCAAATCATCTCCCATTGGTGTACAATGAAGTTTAACTCACTCAGCAAAGCATGAAGATTTTTATTTCATTTTAGGTGGACCATAAATAAGAGGTACTTTATATATGTATATATTTATAAATATATGTATCCATGCACATTTATATGTATATACATATAAAATATTGTTGTGGGTTAACCATGGTAGGCAGCTGAGCACCACAAAGCCACTTTCTCATTTCTCCCTCCCATCCCTGGAGTGGGAAGAGGAGAGGCAAGAAAACTTGTAGGTCAAGACAAAATTGTTTAGTAAGCAAAGAAGAAGTGGGAGAACAGAGAAAGAAAACAAACAACTGATGCAAAATGCCTATGCCCAGCCAAGGAGGACCTTAATGTTATTTTGCATTTAACATGTATTTTACCTAAAGGCTTTTCTTGCAGAGTTTTCTTTTGAAACGCAATTTAAAAAAAAAACAATCACAAACATCACTGAAGCTGTGTAATAGATTTCAAAGCACAACACCAGATTCAGGCAACAGGGTCTACTATCTGCCAGCCTACCTGTTCAGACTGGGTGACGGAGACTGACCTTCTCTGGTCTTACAAAACAAAAGGAAATTCCCCATTTACTTCTGCTTCAAACATGATAGTTGCATTTGAATTTGGTAAGCCATTTCAGCTTTGGAAGTAAATCATAACTAAGTTATCTCAACAGCTAACTACCCTCACTTAAATTTATATTCATTAGTTACATGTTTTTAATTTCCATTATTAGTCTTCAAACAATCATCGTATCACTGTGTGAGGAGTCTATTACCAAATTCTATTCCTCAGTGTACTGAAGTGAAGCTTTTCATGTGAAGAAAAAAATTAAATCTTGTAATTTTTCTTATTGTTCTTCACTAACCTCCCCCCTTAAGTAGCTGTCCAATACAATATTCCAGAAGTTCTCCAGCAGTTTTTAGGAATTCCTATTGTTCCTGTATCAATGGCTTGTGTTAGCCCTTTCAGACAAATTTCACAGGGAGTTCTTTGTCCTGAAGACCACTGGCTGTAACTATGAAGTTTGTTTTGGAGTGAGATTCAATTAGCAGATAAAAGCCACTTACATTTAGATGACCACAACTGAAGCTCCCACTGCAATCAAAGCTTGTTGGTTTTCATACAATCACATAACAGTTTAGGTTGGAAGGGACCTTTAAAGGTCATCTAATCCAACACCCCTGCAATGAGCAGGGACTTCTTCAGCTAGACCAGGTTGCTCAGAGCCCCTGTATTGACTATTGAAAGGCCGCAATAAGGTCGCCCCAGAGCCTTCTCTTCTCCAGGCTGAACAACTCCAACTCTCTCAGCCTTGTACTCACAGGAGGATCCTGTGAACCTCACAGGTCCTCCTCTGGACTGGCTATAACAGGTCCATGTCTTTCCTGTGCTGAGGGCTCCAGAGCTGGATGCAGGACTGCAGGGGCGGGGCTCACCAGAGCGGAGGGGCAGAACCCCCTCCCTTGACCTGCTGGTCACACTTCTTTTGATGCAGCCCAGGATACGGTTGGCCTTCTGGGCTGTGAGCACACATTGCCAGCTCATGTACAGCTTTTCATCCACCAGTAAGCGAACAGTCAACAAGCTGGGAATGAAGGCGACAGATCAGTTGGCCACACTGACTATATTTGGAGCTTAGACGTGTAGACCACATGCAATGCATCCGTTCCAAATCAAACTCTGTCCCTTTTTGTTTCCAGGTCTGAACCTTTACATTTTACAACATTAAAGCACACTCTTGCTCAACTTGCCAAACAGCCCAGACCTTTTTTCTATTTATGTCACAATACATTGTTTCTTAAAGTCTGTGTTGCTTCTATTAATAATGATTTTTTATTTTCCTTGTGTAAGGCATAAAAAACTAATAGTCATATCAGGTCAACTGATCATATTACACCTTACTGAACTAGGATTATTATCCATCAGTTGACTCTCAAAGTGTGGTGTACTGTGAACTATGTTTTAATACATTTAATGTACTGGCTTTTGTATCATTCTATCTTCTTAATAAACAACATTAGTTCCAAGTCAAATACCTTTAGATATTTATTGCATCAGCACTAGCTTAACAATCAATCATTCTCAGCAAAAAGTGCTGTCATCAAGACAGTGTCCAAAAAGTCACTGTCCAAAAAAGTAGAATGACAAAAACTGCTAATGAGGTATTAAAAAAAAAAGCATGAATGTAATGCTTGATCCATAAACTGAATGCAGGACTTCGTTACCTTATCTAGGAACAAAGGCATCCCTTTAAGCCCTTTGTCAGTTTTCTGTGACTTACTGAAAAACATTAAGGGCTCAAGGAACTTTTAAAATCTGGCTGCAAATTATTGCAGACGTGCTAATTAAAAAAAATCGTATTTTTTTTCCTAGTCATTGATGGAATGAAACATTACCATGTTATCTGGATATCCAACCCCTCTACCCTCCTCAAATACGCAGAAAAGCAATTTCCAGCTTTTTTACATCAGGTAATGGGTGACTGTACAGACCATTTTGCCCTTAACATACATGAGAATGAACGTTATTGCCCTTATTTAGGCAGAGTACCCCTCTGAATGTTGGTGCCAAAGATGCTGAGGCTCACAGTGTCCAACAGCAGCAATTCAGTTTCCCGTTCAATGACTTGTCATGCTCCTCCCTGCTTCCCCGAGTTGTGCAAAGTAAATTCTGATTCTCTCCCATATACAGTCATTACTATGGATAGCATCAAATGCATTGATATTGTACTAAAAAGGCCCCACTTTATCATAAACACAAGCAACTAGAATTGGAAACTAATGCAACTGCATCCTGAGAACAGAGCATGCCATTCGCCTTGTTTCAGCACCACAGCACATCCAAGTTTCATAAGGCAGATATTAGAAAGAGTGAGCTCCACAGGAGGAGTTCCTCCTCCTTATCACCAACTTCATCCTACAACAGATCAGAAAAGTATTCCAGTTCAGTTCTGCCAGTACAGAAGTTTTAAGGAACAGACTTATTTATGCACTCAATTTTCTAAAAGGTACTGGCAAGGAAAGGTACTGGCAAGGAAAAGGGTGTTGGCTGTGATGTAGACTAAGTTGTCTTGAAAACAAACCAGCAGCTCCATCCCTGTCCTTCTAAGTTTGTGAAGTGTTTGTGAACAGAATGTTTCCTGAGATATGCTTTTCTCCCAGGTGGAAGAAAAAGCCTATTAAAGAAGCTAACATATGTCAAAGTTTTTTTTAATATATGTATACAGTAAGAAAGTGTTTCTAGTTGAGACAGGCCGAAGTAGCTGAAGGGGCACTGCCATTTTTGCTACTAGTAATAAAATGTATGGACATATCTTGCAAAAATGTATATAAATTCAAATATCTGAGGCACATACACAACTACAGAGTTTACAAAACCAATTCTGTAAAAAAAAACAAAAACAAAGCACAAAAAACCAAAACCAAAACAAAAAAAAACCAAAACAAAACAAAACAAAAAACCCCCCCAACAAACAACAAAAACCACACACACTAAATGGCACTTTTACATTCAAGCCCAGAAGAGAAGTCAGTGGTTATCCCAACTTCATATACTGGGAAGGCTTCCAGCAGATATGTGTTCAAAAGCTTTCACTTCTACATTAGGTTAAAATCAGGATCAGTTCACTCTGTTCTAGTCACATTAAATCAGGAGGCAGAATGTTACAGGAATTATTGTCACCAAAAAGAGGTACTTCATGACTTTGCTTAATTAGCTCAATGGACTGATGTTTCTGTGACGGCTTCATTTACTTTTAGACAATTCATTCCCCAGTAAGAGAAGGATTTTTACTTCATGGGCTGAAGATGATAAATGTTTATAGTAGTAACCAAATGCACTAACCCAGGCAGGAAAGAAAACAGTGCTTGTATCACCCTTATGCTGCTGCAGTATTTTTAAGTAATCATGCTCAGTTACTACTAGATCTCTTCTTGTTTTTAAGTGAAGAAATACCGCTTGCTCAACTCTGAGCAAGTCTGTTACTTGTTCTCAGTTCTGTGTCACGAGAAATAGTGAACAACCAGTATTTTGAGGACCCTTGAGTGATACCAACTCACAGATTCACCCTTCTGTCATATATCAAAATAAGTGAATTGGCAAACATGCAGAACAACTAGCACTGAGCACAACAGAGGAAGCTCAACTGTAGAAGTGAATATAGGGTATCTCACTGGGATGACCACATCCGTTGAGAAGAGCAGATGGCAGTATTAAGAAAAAGCCTTCCAGCCTTCCTAATCACAGCTTATTGGCATCAGTCAACACTCTCTTGCTTCAACAGACAGATGTTGCATTCTCAGGCAAAATACAATTTAAAAAAGTATCAGCTTAGAAAAACCAGGACAACATACGTAGTTCACAAGGGTCATCATATATATATATATATTTTTTAAATGGATTAACAAATGTGCAATTCAGTCAAATAAATTTTCAGTGCAGCACCCTGCTTTCTTACAGAAGATACCTATCCTGTTGTGGCAGGCTTCTCACTATAAGAAAATATAAGCATTAACAATACATGGATAAAGAAAAAAATAGGAGCTTTCCCCAACCTTTGCCTCTACATGCATCAACCACGGAACAGTTCCAAAGTCCGTGTTTATTTGAAGGAGCAACTACTCAGATCAAGTGAAAATGCCCATAGTTAGGCATTTCTAGGTACTCTGTTAAAGTACACATATACATACCCACACACATATGTGAAATGTGTGTTTATCCATCTATGAAAGACTACATTAACAAATGAAAAGACCATAACGTCAAATTCTTAGAAGTATAGGCTACTTCTAGTCTACAATAACACAGAGTAATTCATGTTCCTGTGGTACTGCAGAGGAACAAGGAATTCTTATGGCAGATGTAGCGTCTGAATTCCACTTAGTTAAGGTGACCTAAATGGCGCTAATCATCTCCCAAGGGAGGGTCTTTTCCCCACCTACTTCCTCCAGTGGCTGAATCACCAAACGCAGCTGTCACTAACTTGGAGCAAATAGAGGAACACAGTTTCAGACTGTGATTTCACAGGCATTGCCGACAATTCAGAACCTTTTGCCCAGGAATTGCAATGCATAATTTTGTTCTGGAACTCACAGTGGAAATATTTCATGTCATTCAGAAGCTTTTTGTACTGGTAAAGTACTAGAAAATTTAATGCAAAGACTCTTCCAGAAGTAATCTCATGGTTTCCCTTAAAAGGAATTGAGGCATTCCTTTTTCCCTTATCATAAAGCAGCATGGGAACCAGCTGAGCATCAGCAGATAAATACTTCAGACTGAAACGACACACTCAGATAAAATAAAACTTTCCAAGCATAGGCAACAAGATCTCTCCGAACACATATATGATTTTTTAGAATGTCTTTTCACTTAAGAGTTTCCAAATCACTAACGCTTTGAATACCAACATTCTTCTTATAGCAGCCGATTCCTCTACAGCTTCTAAAAGTGCAATCAACTGCAGCAACAGAATCCTGTCACTTTTACAGGAAGAAATGCAAGAGATAGGAAAGTACTAGCAATGCCATATTTTGGGGAAAGTGTTTTACCCTTATCCACTAATAGAAGCTTGTATTAATAAACAAGGACTTGCAGTACTGTAACTATACATATTCACAATATGTATAACTGCAATAGGACTATATAGTTAATACATTATACTATATCACATGTGCATTTTCCACATGGTTTTGAATCCTTCTATCAAATTCTAACAGAAATTCTAACCCTATTATAAGTCTATTTTAAAACACTGCATGTGTTTTTTTGTTGATTTTTTACAGTATTGTTTCCAGCAGGGCAAAGCTGGCAAGTTCACAGGAACACACGCTCAGGACTGTGACTAAGCTACTTCCCTATGAATACTGCTACTCACTGCCAATCAGATTAACTTTTTACTGTGATGTTCCTGGCAAACACCGCATGCAAAGCTTAGGTAACTCAACTCATTTCAAACACTGCTTGAAATGGGAAAAGCAATTGGACAACAAAACCATGAAACCAACCCTACAGAGTACTCCAACTCTTCAGAGTACTATCAAAATATAATACAAGAAAGATGAAAGAAAATTTGCTCTTCAGTTCAGTAGTATCTCCTATATGGCTAACATTAATATATCCAAAGCCCATCCTTTCATTTGGAAGTTTCCCCTGAACATAATTAAAACCCTTCACATGTACACTATTCCATAGTTGCTGTAGCATCTGCAAGCAGAGTAAGATCTTGGAAGGAACCATAGGATATTACAGTATGTTTATAAAGTTATTTGAAAACTTTCTGCATCAGAGTTTGTTTCCCTTTAAAAACCAAACAAACTTTCTGGGATGTATCTTAGTTAAAAAACTAACTAGAACACTTCTGGGGAAAACCAGATGTTATATACAACAGATGCTACATAACAACCTCAGAGGTAAAATGGGAGATTTTTCAGAATAGCAAAAACACTGTCTCAAGTGAGCCTCAAAGTTTTGAAAAACAGGTTAAAACTACAAGCAGATATTTAACTGGATATATGAGGTAGAAGACTACCTTACAAAAACAAAGCAGAAGCTAAGCCTATGCCAGTTAATTCCCTGAAGGCAAATTTCCTAACTAACAAACAAATAGTAGCAAATTTGTTTAAGTACCCAACTTTTTGATACAGGAACTTTTTACCTATGTGACTTTTTTCCTCAACCTCCCTGCAAAAATGTGCAAGCTACAATATGAAGAAGCATCGTTTCCTAACACAAAAAAGGCTGTACCTAGTCAGACTGAAACATTAATTTTGCCCTGTTTCCAGCCGTGACAAAAAAAAAAACCAAACAAAAAACCAAACAACAAAACAAAAACAACCAACTTACAGGTAAGAATAAGGACAGAGCAGGCATGCAAGGATCCTTCCCTAGGATGTTCTCCAACAGTTTGCAACTCTGGAATTTCACAGGTCAGAGGTTGGGCAAATTTACGGAAGAAGATTCCAAGATGATGAGACATTCACCTCAAAGCTACAGGCTTTCAGCTGCAAGGAGCTCTGCAGTTTCATGTTGCATGAAGAACTATCTCCTTTTATATTAAGTCTGCCAGGTCTCACTGATATCCTTTAGGAAAGGTTAACAGAAATCAGCTTTTCACTGCTACTAAACCTCTATCATACCTAACTTCAGCCATTTCTTTTCCAGCTCAATCTGGTTGTTCTTTAAATGGAGCCTTCTGACACCTTTGATCCTTCTCCAAATTTTTAATGCTTGAATTCTGTAATATACTTTTGAGATAAGCAGACCAGACGTGCAGACAATATTCAAGTTGCAGGGTATCCACACAATGACATTATGTTCTCTGCTCTTATTAGTTTCCAAATAATTGCTGACATTCAATTTCTTTTAATATTTACTGATTATAACCAAAATCATATTCAAGCAAAACTCACTCACACTCCCACCGATACTGCATATTCAGAGTTGGGATTTCTCCCTGACTCACTCCCATGCACATTATCTACCCGTAATCCATTTGCTCTTGTTTTATTATTCAGTCACTCAAATCTCTTAAGATGTGCTACAGACAGCCTTAGTTACAGATACTGTGTCACGTCCTTACTCAGATGTTCTGGAATACACATAAATAAGAGAAATTTTTTGATTCTATGTATGATCTGACCAGTGTCAGCACTCTAAGTCAAATAACCAGAAGATACAGTAGACTGATCTGCCTATTATTTATGACCAAAACTCAAGTAATTAGGAATCTGCACATTCCAAACCCTATCATGATCATTTCTCAGAAATAAAATGAAAATTCACAGACCAGCTAGGCTGAATATCCAACAAACAACAAATGAAAACAGCCTGCCCTATCCATATTGCATTTAGTCCATCAGGTTTGCCATCATGACTGAAGACCTCGGAACTATTGAATGAACTGTTATAAATTCTTATGAGTTAACAGTAGAGTAATATGCCTTTTGTCCAAGAATGAAAAACATCTTAAGCTTCCTAGAAAGCACTGTATAGAACAGCTAAACCCCTAAAATTAAAGGGATGCTTATTAATAAAGGCAGATTTAAAATTCCTTCCAGAGATTTCAAAGGGTCCTGAAGATACTAATACTCCCCTCTGGGGAGTTGTAGTGCCTACAACAATTAGGTACTGAAGGGACAGATAAAATTACTGAATAAACAAAACACAGTCTGAGGACGAAGTGTGGTACGCAGTTCTGAACTGTGGAAGAGAGAAAGAATATATTTATCCAAAAACCCATTTTTCACCTACTGCCCAGTAATAGCCAAGAAAACATATCTGAACATGAAAAAGGGAAAAAAACCTAGGGGACATGAAATTTTAAGTGGAAGGACAGAAAGACAGACAAATCCTCAAATACCTTGATAAACAATGAAGAATATTATTTTTCTAAGTTTTTTTTCCCTTTGTTAAAAGGGTAGAGCATGAAGCTTTCTGAAAGCTTTAAATAATGAAAGGCATTTTTAAGCTGTTTTTCTTTCCCCCAATCTGTTCGAGTGCAAACACTACTTCAACACAATATGAGAACTTAGTAAGATCATTCACTGCCAGTCCTGCTCAACTCCATCAAGGCTGTGTTGGGCCAAGACCAAAGTACTATGCAACAACATGTAATATCAAAGTCTCAGTTGAAGAGTCAGATCAATGCTCATCTACTGGTTTAAAATTGGGCCCAACACCACATTGCTGGGAAGGAAGAAAAGGAAACTCCAGTGAAATTTTTCCCTTTCAAGATTTTAACCTAAACATAGATCAGATAGAAGTCATCTATATACACATATGTCTATATTTATTTATATTTATATGTGTATATGTAGGCTGGAGTTTTGTTTTTAACTTGCTCTTTATCATACTGTTTAGTAAGTAATTTGCAGAAGGTCAGCCTTAGACAAAATTTCATTTGCTGCCAATATATCAGAATTGGGGTAAGTACTGCCAATCAAAGCAACAGATCAGCTTGTCAACTATTGCCACCTCACTAAGGTAAGGGCATGTTTCACAATTTAAATATTTGAGTCCTGCATTTCACCCATACTAGAATTCCTTCTATTGCTTCCCCCATTGCAACTGCATTTGGTATATGTGGTAAATATCCCTTTAATTATCCAACTCAGCTTTTCCAACCAAGTCCTCAGTGTAAGTTAAGTACAGGCTAGCTGTCCCTACTCAGCAAAAACCACTTGTAGTCCAAACAAATTCTGTATGTGTCTAAACACCACTGAACACTTAACTTCAAAAAACAGACTTTACCGGAGAATCTTGATCAGAAGGTAACAGCTACAACTAACTGAAACTCATACAGGAAAGACACATACCACTCCATCTGCAATCTTCCAGTCCGCACAACTTTCGTATTTTTGCAGTTGCTTTTCAAACAGTTGTGCTATGGCTCGATGGACAAGTTCATACTGCTCCTATAGTAAGTTACCAGATAAAAATTAGTGTATGAAATCTTTACAAAGAATGATGGTATATTATCATATGATAAAAATTCTTTTTAAAACAAATTATACCTTTGTCTGCACTGCAGAATGCCTTTGTGTCCTCATTTCCTGTATTAAATTAAATACATTGAATTCTTCAGGTATTTTCTGAAATATAGAAGGAAGTCAATTACAATGACATAACTGTTTGTCAGAACAGCAATATAAAAGCTGTTAGACATAAAGTATGTTTAACTTTTGCAGGTAAAGCCCGTCTGTTCTCTACATTGCAGCTATTCAACTTTTTTTTTAAAAAGCAATTCCTCTCCAGAACTGGGTTTAAACATTTGATTTAGACCAGATGAGAGCATTTCCAGTATTTTGATAATGAGACATCCAATTAAGGCATTAATACAATACTGCAAAGTTAATGGTGCTTCATAACCTGAAAAAATGCAGAATGAAGTTATCCCTGTATATATGAAATATCAGGCTTTAGGAGCTGCAAGACTAAGCAGAAACAGAAAAAGTTGAATTCGAAATCACTTCATATTGAAATAAGTTTAAAAAAATTAGAATTCTACGGTGACTTTTTAGATAAAAACTTGCTGTCAAAGCAAAGTATGTTCATACTGAAGCATGAATGCAATGAATCTAAACATTCAACCTGTCAAAAGAGTTCCCAAATGTCTTAAACATTTGACTATTTTAGAATATTTGGGAGCTCAATCAATCACTGTTATGAAATGATGGAATGCCACAAAATTTCTTCTTCTAAGATTCCTTACCCCAGCTTTAAGCAAATTCCATGTATAATCTATGGCACAGATGGCTCCTGTTCTTCCACACCCTGCACTATGAACATAAACAGTTAGGTGTGTTAGAAATTTTAATTTGTTAAAAACACACTATAAGCTTTATATTTCCAGAGGTCACGTGAAAAAAAAAAAAATCAAAATCTCTTGACTATCATTAAGCTCACTCAACCTGACACTGTAGTGTCTTAAAAATAAAAAAAAATTACCAGTGCAAAATAGAGCTTTGAAGTTTTTTATGCAAGTTTTTCATAGCCAGTTGGAACTACATCATGAAAGTTGCTTCAATGCTGACATTTTTATTGCCTCACACTATTCCTAGTTGCCACTGCTTCAGCAGCAGGGATTTTGTCCAAGTTTAATGATAGATATGTTAAGTGGCAGAACAGAATACATTTAAAGACTTCCCATGTTTTTCTGATTTAGTATCATACTGTATTTTGTTTTTCATCTAAAAAACTTAAAACCGAAATTTATAAAAAAATGGCAAACTATCACATTTATTCTTCCTTATAGTATGAATTTTTCTATTTTACACATAAAGAGTTATAATGCATGCGTATTTATTACATAATTATATTGTTGTAAAGAACCAACTTTCACAACTGTATTGACATTGAAGAGAAACAGGACAAAGTGAAATGGATTTCAGTGCTAAGTTAGTAAGACCCAACAATTTAACATTTCCTGGCTTAGGAATTTGAATTCAGTTTTTCCTGACATATAATACATTAACTTTTGTTGCTTTAAAAAGTATCAAATATCATAGACAAGAACTTTACAGAGAGACTGTCAGAAACGGTCAATTCACCAAAACATTTTCATAGCAGTTTAGTTTCAACAGTCCTTCTGTTAGCCAAATTTCAAGTCAAAGACAAGACTGCTGCTCAGAAGCAAAAACTTACCAATCGAAAACCACAGCCTACTGCTTAGAGATCTTTTTGTCATATTAGAGGACAGACAGAAAAGTTCTTAGGTAGTGATGTACCTGGTCTGTAGTCTCTCCTATTGAGAATGGAACCTTCACTCCCACATGTGATTTGCAATGACCTTCAAAGTCTATTTTGTCTTAATGAGGATTTAAATGTCTTAAGAACCACAAAACGGTTTCCCTTGTAAAGACTAATTCTTTTCTGACTGATATTCTGTCTTAAACTCAAATTTCACTGTGGCACAAGTTTTAAGACAACAAAGACTATATGATTTTGAGCCAACTTCTGACATGAAGAAATACTCCTTTCTAGAAAACTAAAATAGATAAATAAATAAATTCTGATTTAAAATCAAACTACTGCATTTCATACCAAAAGTCTAGACAAAAAACTTAAAACGTATAAACTTAAAAAAATAAAAATATTTGATACCTGCAGTGTATGCAAATTGGTACATCTTCATGTTCTTGGTATTCTCTCATCAAGCTGATCATGTCCAGTATAGAATCAAAAGATGAAGGGACATCGTGGTCAGGCCAGTTAACATAATGAAATTGATAGACACTACGAGTCTCCTAAGGGAGAGGGAAGAAGAAAGGTGTTAATGATAATACATATTTGAGGAGTTTGTATGAAATAATTAATTCTATGCATCTTTACTTTTTACATGATTAAGCGTGGACAAGCAAAGCCATTTACTGTACAAAAAAACCCCTACAGCTTATACCACTTAGAAAAACAAAAGGGAAATTCTGGAGTAGTATTTTGAATCCTGCTAATGTATAGGAGAAAGCACTATGGGACAGTTCACAGAAGTCCCTCTCTATAATATATGAGGACCCACAACGTTGCACTGTGTTAAAAGATTCTACATTCTTACAGCCTTAAACTTTGAAAAAGAAAGAAAAACCACCATGAAAGATTCTCTTTCCAATTGTACTCCAGTAGCTTCCATTGGAAAAAAATTGGTGTGTGGGTGCTTTGTGACATTACAAAATAAAGTGTGTGCGTGCATGTGTGAGCGCACAGAAGGAAATTAAGTAAATGAAAGAAATAATTCAGACCATATCTAAATATGCAACAACAGTAGGTACACTTTTATTCTAGTTAGCCTATGTTACAATAGTACTAAAGACAAGGTAAGAAGCAGGCTTTAGAACAGTCTAGTTACTCAGCTCTCTGAATCCCTGAAAGGCTAAAGCTTCTTTCTCATCATTATCCAAACCATCTGCAGTATAGCTAGTTCTACTGCACCCTTCCATGCTGCTGTCACACCTCTGGATTCTAGTATACCCTCAGAGTAATGTACTAGAGAGGTGTATGAATCTTTTGATCAACGTTACAGGTTACAAGTTTCCACACCTATTCTGCCTTCTGTTTAGCTATTTGAGAAGCAACACAGTGGGCCTCTTGAGCATGGAAATTTGTATTGTCTTCCAATGGAACCAACTCTTTTTGATGCTTTACTTTTGCCAGACCTGTGGAAGCGCTGTAGCTATTAAAAACAAGAGAAAATGCATCCTAAGAAAAGAAATTTTAAAGATCCAACTGATTATGTAAAACCTATGTTATCAGCGAGGAAGAAAAGTCACAGCTGCCTATTAAGGCCCACGAAGAACTTTCACTTAATTACATTTAAAGATACAAACCCAGTGATTTTTCACATTAGCAGAAATGTCAGGAAAAAAAAAAAATCTGGATTTATACTTTTTATATGGAAATGAAAAATGAAAAGGGACCTTCATAGTCCTTTTTTTACTGCCACTTTTTAAGAAGGAACCTGGTGTTTTAGCTTAAAATAAACTTCAAGCTTCAAACTGGCCTTCCTCCTAGAACCTAGGATAATTTTGTATACTTATATGAATTTTAAATTCTTTTCCGTAGTATTTTGTATGATAATCCGCTGAAAATTTTACAAAGTGACCAAACTTTTCATTATTCTGGAAAAGCAGAAAGTGAACTTAAAAGAATATTACTTTATACCACCAATACACATCTTCCTCACGAGTTCAAGGCTACACCTAGAATGCTTCGAAGTAAGATGAAAAGTCTGTAATTCATTACCAAAACGTGTGCTCACAGAAACCCTGAAGCAATTTTGCTAGGTAAGGCTGAAGAAAAATCATTTTATCAGCTGCGTAGGTTGAATAGCAAAATATCTTGTTAATCCTTTCAATTGTATTACACCTTAAAGGAACATAACCTTTGGGCTCTGCTAAGATCAAAAGCATAATGCAAACCGTAGCTTTTTGTTACTACTGAAGTTTTTACGTAGTACACAGGCACCCCATAAAAATTAAGTGGAACAGAAGTCATGGAAGTCAAGTAGCCAAACATGAGTTGCATGTATAGTATATGCAAGCAAAATATAAATTAGCTACTGTTTCTGAAGTAACCAGTTCTCATGATATTCAGGTATTAAAAGTAATGTAGGTTCTGCTTTGGGGTTTTTGATTATCTCTTCTGTTCTGTTTTTAATTGCACCGTTTCTAAAAATGTTGCAAAACCCACACTTGTTATGCAGTTGATTTCTGCTATCTAAAAAGTTTCATAGAACAGTCAGTTACGAGCATTCAGGACACACTAACAGAAATAAACTGATTAAGTTCATGCATCCCACTGCAAGCACCTAGCAAGCTACTGCAGACAAAAATTACACCCCAAAATTACCCCCATCATGACTAACCAGTTTTCATAACTGTTGTAGTATCAGTTGTTGAAATGGAACACAGCATTGCTAAAGAACACATAACCATAAGTGAGACTAACCTGTAATAAATAATTTCTTAAAATAGTTTGCCAATTAAAATGACAGGTATTCTGTAAAACAGACTGTCAACTTTCATGTTTTTGCAGGACAGCTCTACACTTATTTTTATTTACTGACATTTGCTTTTCAGAAAATAGTCACCTCAAATCTGACACTTAAGTATAAGTTGCAAGAAAGGCTTAAACCATTCATTCTTAGTCACATGAGAATGCAAGTGCTCTTCTCTCACTAAAAATATGACAATTTTCACAATTAACATTCAGTTTATGAATTAGGTCTCATGTTTTACAGCAGTTTGTGTCATAAGTTTTCACTAAGATGAATAAACTCCATTTCTTCTATAAAGAGATTAATCTTAACCATTTACAGTTGCCAACTTAACAAATAGTGTAAATGAATTTGTTTACCAGAATACTTGTCTGGTAAGCCACTTCTACATTTTGAACACTAGGATATCAAATCTTCAAGAATCCAGAAGTCTTGAGCTCACTTTTAGAAGTACATTTCTACCTTGACCCCTGAATATATTACATTTAATTCCCCCATGCAGAAGTTCTCCAAGCAAAAAGACAATGCAACTCAATTTAATCAAGAACATTCCATATTTTTCATATCTATTTCAATTCCAAACAGAGTAACTTTACAAGCTAGAGTGAGAAAGTTTGGGGGAAAAAAGAAATCATTAGTTGTCATTCTTGCTTTATTTTTATTTGGCAATACAAGTACATGAACGGGCATCAGAAATATCTTTTAACATTGTAAAACGGTCTTGACAATAAAAGAAAGTATAAGGCAAACTGTAACAAGTACACATACTTCACCCAAAAAGAAGCTAACTACAGGAAACAGGTTTTTTTGGTAAGTTTGATTCCGTTTGTCATCATATTTTCAGTTGGGGTATACAGTGAAATTCTCCTGGGGTGACAGAAGCTTTCTAGTTGCTAACACATGGTATTGAAAACCATCACACACCTTTGGCTAACCAAGAACATACATAAAAGGCAAGTAAAGAGTTTCACTACTCTTTTCTTATATACTAAGCTTTTAACATCACTTCTAAACTTGATGATTTACATATGTACAGAATGAGCACCTAAAAAACTGAAGATATTTTCATGAGTTTCCTCCACTGTATCACTTAAGAGATCTCTGAACAACCATTAAAGTTGAGACCAGAAGTGATCATATACTTACATTCTGAAATTCAAGTAATAATGTTCTAATGAAGTAATCTGTTCTTGCTTGCTCAGCTTCCTAAACATGAGAAAAGAGTAATGAATTGGAAAAGATCAATATACAGCATACAGGATATAACTAAAAATCCAAACTTTAAACTCCGGTGTCTTTTTTTTAATTTACTGGGTTTGTATCTATGATTTCACCAAAAGATGGGCAATCAAAACATTGATTTTAAAACAGCAGCAACTTAGCTTGCTACGTAAGATATCTGTGAAAGATGTTACTTGTACTTAAAATAAAAATGTGAGTTTTCAAACCAATAAGTATACACCCTGCTCCTGAAACCATCAATAGAACTTGTAGTAGTACAAGTAAAACCTTGTAAAAGTACTTCTTTTGCTTTATTTCTCCATACATTTATTTAATTCCCAGATTGCCTTCCACAGCCATCCTTCTATAATACTTCTGCTGTATAAACTTCAGCCTCTTAGCACTCTATCCTGTGACATCTCCTTTCATTTTTTTCCTTCCATTATTTTCAATTAAAGGTGCATCTGAATGGATCATTGTGATTATCTTCATTGTGGCCAAAAAGCACAGCTTCTAGGCTCCCAGAATTTTCAAATCTGCCTTTGGAACATCAAGGAAAGTTTATACTGTAGACACCAAACAATATTATCGTACTTAAAATATCACTTATATCACACTTTGAAGATGCCTTTGAAAGATTAGCATCACAGCTTCTCACAGGTGAATTTAGGAAACTGTATATATTCTTTAACATGTTCCTATCTACTACTGGGAATTTACCATGAAAAATGATTGCAAAAACCTATTGGAGTATACTGTTGTGTGATGCTGAGATGACAGGTGCCAAAGGAATGACTACTCTCAATTCCCTGCCGTGCTTGGTGTAGGAGATATCCACAGACCCTCTTCCTGCCTATTAATCTGCCAGAAATCCTTATGTTACCATTTATAAGCAAGTATCAAAACTGGAAGAGGCTCTCAATAGTTACACTTAGAGATCAGAAGTCTTGATAACACTGACACAACATGCAATGAAAACATTCAGGTTTCCTCCGTCTTTCTGGAACCACAGCTTACTTGACAGTTACCCCCCGGGAATCCTCCAGGAAAAGATTGAGACCTCATGGCGATCTGCTACTCATTTTTGTTTTGATTTTAAAAGCAACAATAGACGCAAAGGAAGTATTTTCATATAAATCTGTATCTGTTACCGACAGAAACAAGCTAAAAAAAAAAGTTAGTTCAGTTTCCCTTTTCTTTATTCATGCTAATTAACTTTATGTAACTTCAAGAAAATAACCTAGTCCAGTGTTACTTTCATTCCTCATGCATATCCAAAACGCACAAAAGTAATAACAGAGAGAAACAACTGCTTGAATATTATTTGATTTCTTGAGTATGGTACAGACATCCAAACGTACATCATGTAAAGCTAAAGAAATGACACAAAGATGCTAGACCAATGTACACCGGTTCCTTAAAGAAAAACAATTATGGAGGATTCAACACAGCTTAGATATACACATTGTTTTCCACTGTCTTTGTGCAAAAATTGGTACCAAACAATTAAAAAAGCATTTGTAGAACAGTTATTTTAAGTTACAAAAGCATTAAATACTTCAAAATTAATTTATAAAGCTTTATACTTACACAAGAAACACGAAATGGTCCAAAAGTTACAGCTGCTTCTCCATATAGAGGCCAGTAACGTTCACATTTTTTCTGTTAAAACAAAGAATCCTAATTTAATTCATTTATAGCACTGAAAGATAATGATTAACAGAAGAAGAGCAGACAAAATTATAATCTTGAATGCCTTATTCTCTCTCTTATTCAGTGTTTTTCCTTAACATCTGCCTACTGGTGCCTTGCTGGACTTCTTTTAAGATAGTAAAACATCTTTTATTTTGGATACCAAAAGAAAAACAAAACTGAAAACGCAGATGATCAATAAATACAGCCAAAATACACTTTGTAAAGTAGGACATGAACTTCATGACTGCCTACTTATGCACAAGCACACATCATACAGCGGGAAGTCATAAGAGCTAATTCAGTTTTTTTGTTTTACTTTGGAGTTCACAATTCTGGACCACATTTTTTTTTCCTTTTCAGCACATAAGATTATATCAGACATTTAAGATAGATTGTTTTTGCAGCTGTATCAATTCACAGGAAATTCTGAGAGACTCAGGATTGATAATTGGCCTACATGCCACAAAGATAGATTTTTTTCCATAATGACATGACCAGAAACAGACCATAGGTACAGTTCTGTATACAAACACATATATTCCACTGAGATGACACCTAAATAATCACGTAACACTATAAACGGAGCAAAGAAAAGCAGTCACATTCACTGTTTTCTATGCATACAAATATAAGGACAGGCATCCACATTCAACCTGACAGATTATTTTTAGTTATGGATTTGGCATATGAAGCTTCACAGGTATTGGCATATTGCCCTGCATGGGCAATACTCATCTAATTTTGTATTTAGTATTTTACATACCCTTCCCATTTCAAATTCTCGACAGGCCATGACAATTATCTGAAAAGAAAAAAAGATGCTTGGACTTAGCTGGTTTTAGATCAAGTAAGTTCACCAGCACTTCACTGCTTGCTTCTATCTGGGCAGATACTGGTACTCCTTAATTGCTTACTACTGAAGAGACTAATTAATACTATTTTTTAATATTAATAGGGTTTTTTTACTATTTTTACTACTAATAATTTACTACTGATAAAATAGTCCCCAAGTTTTATCCTGCACAAAATAATCTAATCTAAACACTAATACAACATTTTAAGGCTACTTAATTTGAATTCACTGCAATCCTGTACAAATACCTTATTTATTCAGCCTGACTGTAATGTCTAGACTTCATCACAAAAATATAGAACAATATTGCCAACTGGAAGAAACACAGCTATATTTGCTTAAAATGACATAGACTACTTAAAATACACGCAAAAACTGAAGGTATTTCAGATAAACTAATGTGAATAGCACAATAAAAATACACTAACAGGTAAGCTATTTGTTACAATAAGTAACTATGATTTAAGTGTCTGATAAAACAAAAAAATATTTTCAGAAACAATATGTTGAACATAACAAACTTTAACAGTACTTAAGAGTAAAAAGCTATTGTCAGGAGTTAAAACAGATATAAAATATATAAAACAATAAGTAACCCAAAATTAGCATAAATAGAAAGGTAAGCTTTTATATTTTTTGTTTCACATGCCGCTTCTGTATCCGATTTCATCAGTTCACATTAAGTCAGAGTTGTAAGGTCTCCTACAGGACAGATGTAACCAAGCACCAACCTATTCATAAATATGCATAATTTTATTGAATGAATACGAAATTATTACTTCGAATTTACATTATTAGCTTGAATAAATAATATTAATTATATATAGAATGCTATTTAAACTACAAAAAACAAGATTTGAGAAGTAAATGGACTAAATCACTGTCAACATTCTTGATAATAATAGCCAGCTCAGGCAAGAGATACACTATCACTGTGCCATGAATTAAGGTAATGCCCAATTTTGGTTTTTAAGTAGGTACTTACGGCAACATTGTATTCCCATATCATCCTCCAGAAGTCTATTACTGTATTTGCTAGTGGTCCCTGGGTAGCAACATATGCTTTTGGCCCATGTACTCCCTAGGATTGCACAAAAGAACCATTAATGTTTATAAATAAAATTTATCTGCACTGAATAAAAAAGACTTTAGGTTATAATAATGTAAAATTAGAGGGGGGGGGGCGGTACAACAGGAGGGTGAATATGAAATACGAGTCCCATTTACATTAGTGGGAATTTTGCTGGCGATTTCAAGGGGCCCCAAGATTATAACAACTACTGTGCTGCCAGAGACTGTAACAGAAAATATTAAGTTTCTGTGTGTTCAGATTCTGAAGACTCCCTTTAAGGCTGCGTTTTCTTTGTTACACAAACACTTAATAATGAAAATTTGAAAAATCTTCCTGCTATAAAACACCCCCTTGAACAAATTTAAGTTCACAGTAATACTACGTTTCAAAAATCCCAAATTTTAAAATTTGTTTTATATAAAGCTTGAAGACATTTACAATCAGGTTTTCAAGCTAAACATTCAAGAGGTGAGATTTAAAGGAATACCTGTTTCTGAATAAGCATTACTGTGTAGAAGCAGCATCAGAACAAAGCTACAAGGAAAGCCCAAGACTTTGTTTACACTCTGAAGCAAGTGTAACAGGCTTTTAGCGAAATTCTGGCTTCCATTTAAGAATGTTAGATATACTTCCATTGCCACATTTCTGCCATGAACAGCAAGATTTGCCTATTAACGTACACGATATGTCAAATGCCTCATTTTTGATCCCTAGAAACAGCCTCTCTTAAAATTTGGTATTTTTAACACTATCAACTGTTAAAAGAATTGTAGCTGAATTTTCCCATGGTATAAATTCCAGTTTGGTTGCCTGTCACTTTAATATTAAGTATTTTATATTATATTTACACTTAGAATAATATTAAAACTTAAAAAAATGCTTTATAAATGGCATCATATTTGAAAATTTATTCCAGCCATAGTAAAGTAAAATCTTCCCTCACAGCTTTAAATTCTTATCTCAAACTGTAATATTAAACTGCACTGATATGAAATAAAATCTTAGAAAGAATGTAAGAACTGTTAAGATAGTAATACACACCTTAATAAAGTTTGCATTGATGTAGTCTGAATCTTGGGGGGGAGTTTTTAAGGTCAGTTTAACCCGGCTATGGTCAACTGAAAGAAGAATTGTATTTTTTTTTTTAAACAAGAATTACAACACATGTGAATCAATATGTAACAGTAAATATAATATCTATAGTACTTATTGTATCTATAGAAGAAATTAAGCATTAAAGAATGTTTCCCAAAGATAAGTCACACAATCAAGTCAGTCAATTTAATTTATAGGTAAACCAATGCAGGTCGGGATAAGCAGAGTAGCTCATACTGCAATGTGCTTCTGATGCTCAAGTTTACAGAGTACCAACTACTAAAATTGCAAAAGTGATTCATTAAAAAGGCAAAATTCTGTTAATCAAATGTAATCAAAATTGCAGTTTTGATTCACATAGTACAATATGAAACATGCACTGGCGTTTACTGCTCAGGCAGACTGATTTCTATTCCCCAAACACCAGGCTAGGCACTTTGCTGTGGCACTTCTAAACTAGAAGCAGCAGATTCCTTCATTTAGGAGGTTTTGATATTTCAGGTTTCTGCCTCAAGCACTACGGACTGTCTCAAAGAATGTTTCTTAGAAAAACAGCAGTTCTTTGGAGACAAAAATCCTCAGCAGTCTTAGAAATAGCCTTTATTACTTGTTGACAGAATAAACTAAACATCTTGGAATTCTTTTTGGCATTGAAAAAAAATTAAGCACATCTTTAATACAGAAACAACTGGATGATTCTTACTAAGAAGGAGGGTAGGTCGTTGGAAGGTTCACCAGTCCCTCCAGCTCTTGTTGATACCAACACTTCCTTGCTACCACATAAAAATAATTCAAACTATCTCTACAATAGAGGCTGTTTTAGTTGGAAAATCAGATTAAAAAATTATCGATGAACTGGGGAACTAGAGGTATCTCCAGAAACAGCATCTGCTCAAGCAATTTCTGTAACTTTCTGCTCTCAGAGTCAATTACTCAACCACAGAACAGCTGCTAAAACTTTTATTAGAGCTAAGTTCAAGAAAAAAGCATAAAGAACAAGTCTATTTAAAAAGAGGAAATATGATTGGTTTTTTTTTTTTTTGTCAAAACTTCGCTGGTAATAAAGCAGGGAACCATGCCCACAAGAAGTACATGCTAAGAGCTATTTCTATACAGAAAGCTCTTCCAAGAAGCTTCCAAGATACTCGCTTCCAAGATGGTGAAACTTTCTGCTACAGTTCTGATAATATGATTAAAATGTTTATGTTACCACGTAATGCTTCCTAAAAAAAAGCACAAGTGCAGATTACAAGACATTTAGACCACAGATCTAAAGACAACATACTCTCACATAAAGGCCTACAGAAACCCTTAAAACATATTACACTCATAATGTTAAAGCAAGAACACCTTATAAGCATGCAATGGTGTCACAGACTTAATACTAAAAACTACTTTTAAACAGCAGATCAGACTAAGTAAAGTGGGAGGCTAATGAGGGCTCCTAGTTTCCCACCACAGTAGATCCAAAATTCTAGAGCAGTTTCCAAGTGTCAACATTTCAAGCCTGCCTGTATCTGTCACAGCTCAGCTCTTTCCGAGTTTCAGGTCTGGAAGAGAATTCTCCAAGAAAAATCCTATTGCAGGTTCCAGGTTCAGAAGATTAAGTGCTTGGATATTCATACATAGCTTAAAGGCTCAGTTCACAATTACTAATTGGTGTCTTCAGGTAACCAGTGAACACCATATTTCATTTAACTATCATTTAGGATGGCTTAGTAAACTATAATGTGAACAAGCACGCATCTTTTACTATTAAGCCAGTATTGAGTTAATATTGAGGTACTGATCTCTGTTAGCAGTAACAATTTCTGATAAATACAGCACTAATCTCCAGTTAAGTTGCATTTCTAAGTTCTTTTCCAGATTTATAAAAGATAGGACAAGTATCATCCCCCTTCCTCCTCCAAAACATCTCCTGGCTTTCATTTCTGTCAAGCTGGTCTCCCATCACTTTACTGCTGGAATCTTTGGATGTTTGAAGATATTCTTGCTTTAACTGAAAATATACCTTCAATTTTCCTCAATGTCAGCTTTGAGGATCTGCGTACCCTTTCAGATCCAATGAGACAGCTTTTATTTTTATGTAGATGAAAAGAAATGCACATCTACCGTTCTGGTTGCAGCAAATCACTACTGAACTAGCTATTGTCTCATCGATTCAGCCTAGGTGCTACCAAGATTTTGCTATATTGTTCATGATCTACCAAAATGCTAGCACAAGAGAAAGCGTAACAACTCTTAACAATAACAGCTTCCCCTGCTTCACTCCATCCATGAAACATGCTTCCTCCCAACTAAAAAAAAAAACCCCACAGAAAAAACCCCAATGATAGTTAACTAATTTGCTGAAGTTGACCTTAGTACCACGCTACTCTTCAACATGTGATGTAGGTCATACATATATCCTCCAGCAAAATTTTAATACATGTGCCTTTCCTTCCTTGCAGCAGCAAGCACTACGCCCAGCTTGTTAAACAATCCAGGGCCTGTGGCTTTAGGGCACAGTTTACTGCTGGAAGTGTTGCTCCAAGCACTAATCAACAGTAAAAATTCCAGTGCTAGAGAAACAGAGCACACAGCTATACAACAATCTGAAACATGCAGTAATTCACTGGAGTTTATTACTAGAACATATTTTGAAAATGAAAGGTAATGATGCTTAAGACCATTTTCAACTCCAAGTTGGTTATAAACCTCCTAACACTTCTAAGCAGAGTAAAACATATCTGTTGCTTATCTTCTGGGATATGAAAAATGACATTTGTTAGAAGACTACCCTTTAATCTCACTGTCAGCTGATGATATTGAGAAACACAGTAAGAGTTGCTGAAATACATGGATGGCCTCATAAGCTACACAAAGTGAGCTTGTAACAGGCAATCTTGTCATTACAGATCACTGACCTGTTATATCCACTCACTGGTGGTTTTAAAATTTAAATTCTGCTCTGGCGCTTGTCTTCTGTGTTTGCACATTAAACAGAATTTCATTTGGGCTCTAGCAAAATACAAACCAAAGAACCCAGATGTCAATTTGATAGGGCTTGGGACCTAGCGTACATTTTATCTTTAAGTGATAGCTCTCCTAATAAAATAGACAAAGGTTCACTTACTTTGCTTTCCAAGTTAAAAATAAATTTTGTATGAAAGTTGTCTTTCAGCAAATTATCTCCAATTTTGCCTTTCAGTAATAGCTAAACAGTAAAATTCAAAATACATTAAGAATAAAAAATATTTGCTTTTGTCTTCTATTAACATGTAAATCAGACTCACATGGCAATATATCCTTATATCTATTCTTTTTAACATTTTCTTCTTTTTCTCCAGTAGCTGTTGGGTAGATCTTCTCTGTTCTGTATTTTGTTGATAATCTTCTTAACCTCTGAAATAAAACATTCCTGTTATATTTTCAAGTCTTAAGACAAGAGAAACATTACTAGGTATTAGCTTCATCAATGAAGTGTAAGATCACTGAAGAAATACTACTTCTCTCCTTTTACAATATTCACTACGACAAAGTTTATAAACCTAATTATTCAGTACTTTTAGCTCACCAGCATTTACAACCAAGTTGAAACCAGCTTTATACATCATAAGACATGGAACTTTGGAAAAGTCACTACAGCAGCAGTACGGAATATGGCTGTATTTTATTTAGGAAATACCCTGCCCTGTTAGGGAGTAACAACTGCATTAAGAATACCTGTAAGAAAGGAAAAATCTGTTATTGCTCAGAATACCTAGAGGAAGAGCACAGAGCAGGCTGGCTCAGGAACAGTTGTTAACAGATGGTACTTTGCTCTGAAACACATGGCCTCCAACACACCGACAACTGAACAGAAGGCAGAATCTCCTTCTTAACAGGTATCAACTCCTAACACCCGATTCCTGTTGAGTTTCTAGCACACCCAGAGAAAGGAGATCCCTGCCTCTCAGGTACAAGGTATTCGCAAATAAGATGAGTGACAGGAGGTCTGCAGTATTCACAACAATATGTCATTTTTTTCCCCTCAATCTATTTCAAATCTGAGAAATTTAACACAGTCAAAACCTCTAACAACAAAATCCAGCCCATGCCTTCCAGCAACACAGGAAATAAAAAAAGCAATACAGCTTTTATCATCCCATTCAAATTAGGTCTTTGCAACCTTAAAACTGAGGAAGAGTATAAATTCTCTTTATAGAGGAGGAGGAGCCACCAGTGCTTGTTATTTTAGATTCTGTAAACATCCAGATTTAGAAAGGAACCTTTAGAACTCAGTTAACTCTGGCTTCCAGCTAAAGATAGGTGGTCGCAAAACCAGCCACTCTACTGACACTGACATGGTGGTGATATATAAGACAATCAATAGGAAAACAGAGCTTCAAAAGGAGTTTAGCATTTCCATTGAGTGGTATTCTGCTCAGGTAGAAGGATAGATTTTGTTCATGTTCCCCTCACTCTATCTTTGATACTTGATAATCATCTTTGAAGAAGCAAAATGTTCATGGATTGCTTTATTTTGGGGAAGGGGAAGAATGGGGGATGTTGGTTGCTAGTTAAAAACATAAATCTTGTTTATCACTGACTATGCAACAACATACAGGCAGAAGGATATCGTAAGTGTCAACCCAAGTCCTCCAATAATTCTTCCTTTCCAAAGGGAAAAGAAAAACAACACACAAAATTCAGCATTTGTTACGTACAGAAAAACACATTCATAAAATTTGTCTGTATATAGTGAAAAAACAGCAAATTTTATGTGCAAATGTGAATAAAACTCTGCATTTAGTTGAATAATATGCATCTAATAATCTTTAAAAGTGGCATGTACCGAGGAAAATCAATGGCAAGGTACAATTAAAAAAAGCAAATCAAGAAGAACCAGTTTTCAGTCAAGTTACTTTTTTCTTCTCTGAGGATTTTATCACAGATTAAAATCACTGAACGCTAAAAACAGTAACAGAACTAGCATGCAGGGGATTTTTTTCTTCAAGTGCATTGCTCTTGAAAACCTTGCAATGGTAGTCAATGAAGAAAACACAGTAAATATTTGGAGGTGGGACAGTAAGTCTCTGACCACACAGTGATTGAAGTGCTAAATATATTATCTGTAAACATTGCTACAATGAAGAATAGGAAGATTCAATTCTTCAAGGACACATGAACAGTTACACGAAGCTTCCACACAGACTACACTCATCTTCACAACACTAAAAACAAACTCACAACATAGCGTGTATACATAGCAGGCAGAGAAATCTGGTTTGTAACATGGTACAGACATAAAGAATACCACTGCATACGGGAGACATACTGTCCTAGGTAACACTGCCCTTACCTGTGTCAAAATAAGAAATACTGCCTGTGCTAAGACTGAACACAACCAGGAGTCTAGAAATAGCAAAATAAATACACATAATTTAGCTATATCAGCTAAGAATTGCAAGACTGAGAGATAGTTTGAAATAGGCTATAAGTCTCCAATTTGGGCCAGGGAAAAAAGGCAAAGAGAAACAATGATACTTTCCAAACGTGGCCATCAATATGATTTTGTATATTGTTCCACGTCTCAACCTAGTTGTGAGTTTTTTGAATTTTTTTCCATCTTCCTGATTTTTATGGGACAAATGCTATGACTCTGCTTAGAAAAAGTAACAGAAGTTGAGAGAAAAAAATGACCTCTAAAAACCATGAGTAGAAGCACAGTTATTTTGCATGAGAAAGGATACACTTCCTCAAGTGTATCAAGAAAAAGGTTGGGCATCAAGAAGTACCCTAGGAAGATGATTCTTTTTGCTTTAGCCCATTTTAAAGGCATGCAGGAAAAAACACAGGTAAAACTTGGACCTATCATAAGCCAAAAAGGCTAGAGTGACTAGTACCAGCTTCCATTTTTTAGAAAGCGATGCTATGAGAATTCAGCATAGCCTTCACCCCTGCATGATTCAACAGCTGTACAATCTGCTAAACAGACTGGAAAGTAGGATTAGCATAGCCCAGATTCGAGGGAAAGACAAAATGAAATACAGGTTGACTTCAACACGCATCTGTTCCTAAAATACTTTAGGATCCATGCTTTTAATGCCTGTTTGTCAGCTGTCCTGTGACGTGGGTAATAGAAGATAAGTAAGTACAGTCCTGACAGCAATCAAAAAGAGTAAGTAGTAGTCTTTATGATTTGTAGTAGTATCTGCTACATAGAGCAGTATCTACTTCATGCTTTGGAAGAGAAAGGATTGGCTAAAGTAAGGAAAGAATTCTCAAAACTGAGCTTTGAATGAACTACCACAGGAATGGAAAGTGCCAGACTCAGCAGAAGATTTTGCCCTACACGCAACAGAAAACTTCTGCAGAAAGCTACTGCAATGTGCACACACAGCCTGCTGTGGGATGCAAGAGATTCAGTGCTTCCTAGGTTACAGCCTAGAGTGACCAGAAGAAGGAGAATGTACTCAATAGCAGAACGGGGGTAATGACAGGGCAGAAGAACAAAGAATTCCGTTCAGACTATGGTGAGTCGATGACAAGATAGCCAGTAAGATCCGTCACAGTCCAGTTTCATGCTAATTCATAATAAACAACTGTCTACAGTACAAAGCAGCACTCATTTGGGTTAAGTCAGTAAATTGCCAAATAGCTTCCCAGAAGATACTCAGATGCCAACAGCAGAGATCCAGCCTGGTGTCTCTGCAGATAACAGTGTAAGCTTCCGTGACCCTTGCATAGTCACTGGAACTGCTATTCTGGTACCACAAAAATCTTCATTTATATATTCTTTTAAGAACAAAATGGTCAAAAAGTAAGTGTATATTCATGATTCATCATACTTAAAGAACTACATTCACAAGGCCTTAAGTTCCATTCTCATTAGAAAAGCTCAAGTTTAATTCCGCTTATTCACTGCATGACAGAAGTGGTTTGTGGGATGGTGACAAACACTTACCACATGTGACAGTGTGGGGATGAGCCTTTAAGTTGAGCTTCAGAAATATACTTCCAGTTTCCACAGTGGTTTTACAGTCTGTACTACAAATCTACTTCAGTGTTTTCACAAAAAGACAAACCAGCTTTTCAAACCCAACTTGTGCAATTCTACCTTATTAAGAAGAACTTGGTCTAGTCAGTTCAGGAAACACAGACCTCTGACTTTCGCAGTCAATTTATTTCATCTTTTTAACACTTTAGAAAGCCTGTAAAGACACATTGCTTAATATCACAGAAAAGGTATTAACAGATGAGAAGGCTGAGGTACTCAATGACTTCTTTGCCTCAGTCTTCACTGGCAGTCTCTCTTCCCACACCTCTCTAGTGGATGGGCTGCAAGACAGGGACTGGAGGAGCAAAGTCCCTCCCACTGCAAGAGAAGATGAGGTTCAAGACCACCCAAGGAACCTGAACATACACAAGTCTATGGGACATGATGAGACGCACCCCAGAGTCCTGAGGGAATTGGCTGAGGTAGTTGCCAAGCCACTCCCCGTGATATTTGAAAAGTCCTGGCAGCCAGGAGAGCTCCCTGGTGACTGGAAAAAGATGAACATTGCTCCCATTTTTAGAAAAGGGAGCAAGGAGGACCCTGGGAACTACTGGCTTTTTA